TAGCACAAGAAACCAATAATAAAAATAAAAATAGCAATGAAATTGAGGTTCCAAAAGGTGATTCTCAATTTGCAACACATTTGAAAGCATCTGAAGCGGTAAGTAATTTTGCAAGATCAAAAACTTTACGTGAACAAAGAGAATTTTTACCAGCTTTTGTAGTTCGTGAAGAACTTTTAAAAATTATTAGAGATAATCAAGGTATGTTACTATTAATTAATTAATTTATATGATTTCTATATGTATATCTACACAGTGCTAAATTCATTTATTTATTATATAGTTATTATTGTTGTTGGTGAAACAGGTTCAGGTAAAACCACGCAGCTTACACAATATCTTCATGAAGATGGTTACAGCAAGTATGGAATTATTGGGTGTACACAACCTCGACGTGTTGCTGCAATGTCAGTTGCAAAGCGTGTTAGCGAAGAAATGGATGTAAATGAAATTTTTTACTTCATTATTGACTATTAGTAATTGGTAAACAAATCTGCTAAGATGTTTTATTTCTAATTTATTTAGTGTAAGCTTGGAACAACAGTGGGCTATGCAATTCGATTCGAAGATTGTACTTCTGAAAGCACTCTGATAAAATGTACAAGACAAAATTAATCTATAAATTTTTTTTTGTTGTTTATTTTGATTAAAAATTGACCATAAATGGGGTTTTCTTTTCTTTTAAAAGATATGACTGATGGTGTAATGCTTCGTGAATCACTTAAAGAACCAGATCTTGATCATTATAGTACTGTTATAATGGATGAAGCTCATGAACGTTCATTACAGACTGATGTTTTAATGGGTTTATTAAGACAAGGTATTTTTTTGGCATTTTTATCATTAAAAAAATTTATTACAGTATGTTGAAAAAAATTTATTTATATTATATGTTTTTAAGTGATTACACGTAGAAGGGACCTTAAATTAATTGTAACTTCAGCAACTATGAATGCAGAAAAGGTTAATTTATATTTATATATTTTACTAAATTTACTTTCTTTCCTTCAAAAAAAATTTATTTCTAACAAATTAATATATGTATATTCACATATATTTTTTCATTAGTTTGCTGCATTTTTTGGAAATTGTGCTATATTTACAATTCCAGGCCGTACTTTTCCAGTTGATACTATGTTTAGTAAAACTCCATGCGAGGATTATGTTGACAGTGCTGTAAAACAAGTTTTAGAAATTCATTTAAGTCGCCCAGCTGGTGATATTTTGGTGTTTATGACTGGTCAAGAGGATATAGAAATAACATGTCAAGTTATTTCAGGTAGGTTTCTTGTTCTTTTCAATATACATATTTGTATTTGAATGGAATTAATTCCATGCTGCTACCTTAAATTTTATTTTTATAGAACGACTTCAACAATTGGATAATCCACCACCATTGGCAGTTCTACCGATTTATTCACAATTACCTGCTGATTTACAAGCTAGAATTTTTGAAAAGACATCAGATAATGCACGTAAAGTGATTGTTGCAACAAACATTGCAGAAACCTCACTTACAGGTATATTTTTAAAATGTGGTTTTATAGAATTGATATTATAAATTATGGTTACTTAGCTGTCATTATTATTTTTTAAAATTTTAATATTAGTTGATGGTATTATGTATGTGATTGATACGGGATATAACAAATTAAAAGTTTTTAATCCCAAGATTGGTATGGATTCACTGCAAATAACACCAATCAGCCAAGCAAATGCAAATCAAAGATCTGGACGTGCTGGACGTACAGGTGCAGGAACTTGTTATCGTCTCTATACAGAACAAGCTTATCATCATGAAATGTTTATTAATACAATACCTGAAATTCAGCGAACCAATTTAGCAAATGTGGTATTACTTCTTAAATCTTTGGGTGTTAAAAATTTATTAGATTTTGATTTTATGGATCCTCCTCCACAGGTAAAATACTATTTTATTGCTATAATAATAAATGTATATTTATTTATTATTAATTAATATTTATATTTATAGGACAATATTTTGAATTCAATGTATCAATTATGGATCTTGGGTGCATTAGATAATACAGGGGAATTAACACCACTTGGGCGTAGAATGGTGGAATTTCCATTGGATCCTTCATTGTCCAAGATGTTAATTGTATCTCAAGAGTTAGGCTGTACTGCAGAAATTTTGGTATGATTTATTATTGAATTATTAATTTTATTATGTATATGATTAACATTTATACATTTATGAATGTATGTTTGTAGGCTATTGTATCTATGCTTTCTGTTCCTTCAGTATTTTATCGACCAAAGGAAAGAGTAGAGCAAAGTGATGCTGCTAGAGAAAAATTTTTTGTACCTGAAAGTGATCATTTGACTTTACTACATGTTTATACACAATGGAAATCTAATGGGTATGTGTCCAAATATATACATATCATTAATAATAGTAATAATAATGATGATGATAATAATAATAATAATAATTTAGGTTTCAAGATGGATGGTGTGTAAACCATTTTATACATTCAAAGGCAATGCGTAAGGCTCAAGAGGTCAGATCACAATTAATAGATATTATGAAAGCTGAAAAAATGGAATTAGTGTCTTGTGGTACAAACTGGGATGTAGTTAGAAAGTGTATATGTTCAGCATACTTTCATCAAGCTGCAAGAATTAAGGGAATTGGAGAATATGTTAATATTCGTACTGGTATGCCATGTCATCTTCATCCAACAAGTGCATTGTATGGACTTGGGTATACACCTGATTACATAGTCTATCATGAATTGGTAATGACTTCAAAAGAATATATGCAATGTGTTACTGCTGTAGATCCCTATTGGCTTGCGGAAATGGGGTATGTTGTAATTTATTTGTAATTTTTGAAAAATTAAATTAAAATCAATTATTAAAAAAAATTTTTATTATTAGACCTATGTTTTATTCAGTCAAAGAAAATAATTTTACACAAAAGGTATTTGAAATATTAGATTTAATTTCTTTTTAAAACCTCTTTTTCCCTCAAAAAAATAATAAAATTATTATTATTATTATTATTATTACAGGAAAAACGGGCTGCAAACAAAGCAGAAATGGCCAAAATGACAAAGGAAATGAAAATTAAGAAGGCACGAGAGGAAGAGGAAGATGAAGAAAAATTACAAATACAAGCAGTAAGGTCACCCAAAAAACCAAAAATATTTATGCCAGGCCGTAATGCTAAAACTTCATTAGGAAAAAAAGGATTAGGTATTTAAAGATGATTATTACCATAGATTTTCTAACCCAAAAATAGACAATATTTATTTATTTTAATGTTTTACCTAATAATTGTAAATAAATTTTAATTGAGGGAATTGCACATAGTAGAACCTTTGTGTGATAGATATACTTTTGTTTTACTGCATAAATTAGAAAATACTCAAAGATTGTTCACTTGTTTTTATTACTAGATAAATAGATTTGTTTTGAATTTATTAAAACAAAATTTGTTTGAAAAATTTGGGTGTTTTAAAATATTTATCATTGTTTTTGCATAATTGTTTACTTTTATCCATGATTTTAATTTATTAGAGCAGCTTCAACTATCTTTTGCATTAAATTGACAAGTAGTCAATACATGTAAATAAAATAATATTGATTCGTGAATAGTTGGCTATAAAATTTCTGATCAACTGGT